GAAAATGCAACTTTATTGTGAAAAAATGGTTACAAATGAATCATTCAAAGTATTGCCCATCGCTAGCTACAACTTTTTCCCATCTTTCTGGCAGAGCTCGAATACCGTTACGGTAAAAGCGTTCGTCTTGTGAGGCTATCCACGAATCAAGCCATTTTTTGATGTCTTCATATGAGCGGAACTGCTGATCAGCCAGACCATGTGCCATCGAACGGAACAAGTAATAATCGGACGGCGCAAAATCTGGGGAATATGGCGGGTGGGGTAGGACTTCCCATTTGAGCGTTTCCAAGTAAGTTTTGGCAACGTGAGCGTTGTCATGCAATAGAATCACTTTTTCCTGCCTCTGCTCGTATTGTGGCCGTTTTTCGCGCAGTGCTCGGCTCAATCGCATCAATTGAATTCGATACCGTTCCCCAGTGATGGTTTCGTTCGGTTTCAACAGCTCATAATAAATAACACCGACCTGGTCCCACCAAATACACAGCATAACCTTCGCAGCGTGAATATTCGGCCGAGCCGACGACGTAGAAGCATGACCGGGCAGTCCCCATGACTTTCTTTTCTTTGGGTTGCTGTAATGAATCCATTTTTCATCACCCGTCACGATGCGATGAAGAAAACCCTTCCTTTTTTGCCGCTGGAGCAGTTGTTCACAGGCGAAAAAACGACGCTCAACGTCCCTTGGCTTCAAATCATAAGGAACCCAAGTTCCTTGCTTTTGAATCATTCCCAACGCATGCAATCGCTTGGAAATGGCTTGGCGGGTAACTCCTAATGCTGAAGCAAGCTGTTCTTGCGTTTGGCACGGATCCTCATCGAGCAATGCCTCCAATTCAGCGTCTTCAAAGGTTTTTGGCCTTTCTTCGCGCGGACGGTCGTCAACATCGAAATCACCGTCTTTGAAGCGACGAAACCAATCACGGCACGTTGTTTCACTTAGAGCAGCATCTCCGTAAACTTTTTGGAGCTCTCGATGCGCTTCAGCCGCCATTTTCTTTGAATGAAATAAGAAAATCAACACTTCCCGCAAATAACGATTATTTGGCACAAAATCAGACATTTTCACACAACCAAAAATATATGACGCCAAAACAAAATCACTAACGTGTCAAAGCGGTTTGTTTACCATATGTCTAAGCTTGGTTCATGACGTTTTGGATATGTCAAAATCGACCAGCACTTACTGCTGGAGCCATCTATTGACAAACAGCGGGAACTTAGTTGCGCACCTAATAAAATGACGTATGACACTGGTTTAAAAAATATATCTTGGAGAAACGATTGCAACTAGTCAACTTATCTTGATTTTAAATGAAATTTAACTTTTTTATTTGATTTCTTACTATTTTTGTACCTGAAAATTTACTCGCCTAGATAACAATTCGTACGAGCTCATATTGTCCTCACACGTACGTCTCACACTGCGTCCGCACAGTGCTATCACGCTGTCCCGCACGACGTGATGGGGACACGCGTGCGCAATGAATCGCATTGTACAATCACACTGTGAGTATCACGCCATGCGCACATGGTGCTACCATCACGTTGCTCGTACGACGTAATAGGGACACGCGTGCGAGCGCAATGAATCGCAATGTACAATCACGCCGTGAGTATCACGCCATACGCACACGGTGCGACCATCACGCTGCTCGCACGACGTGATGGAGACATGCGTGCGAGCGCAATGAATCACATGTACAATCACGACGTGAACTCCTTGAGTTAATATATATTGAACTGCATGCACGTGCTTATTATTGTTAGTGCGAAACCAAAGATATGTATTAATTTATATGTATTAATTTCATGTAAGGATTGTTTCGCGTCGCATACACCAACATGCTCCTACTCGCTCTAACGCACTCTGATTGGTTCACGTCACCACTCAGAACAATCAGAATGCGTTGAAGCGAGTAGGAGCACGTTAGGGAATGCGACACGAACAAACTTATAATCAATTTCAATAATAAATAGTAATACTTTTACATTTTTATATTTAAAATTGTTTTGTAGATATAAAATCATTAGACAGATTGGCCCCGGATTTGGATATGAGATTCATATTGCTCGCACGCGTGCGACTTTACATGTGCGGGTTATATTAGTCTCATTTGCGGATCAAAGATCCCATACAGCACAGAACGTTGAAAAAACGTTGATGAGACATTGT